CAGTAACTCAGAGCTGCTTATAATTGTACCTAACAGCTTGCCATTTCAGTCCTCCACACCTTTTCTCAGGCTGTACGCTCGGCCTGGCATGTCAGTGTCCCGTCCTTCCTTCATGCCCTGCCCCCATCTCCTTCTTGTTCTTCAAAACTCACTTCAGCTGTCATCTTCTCCAGCTACCCTTCTTCAGTGTCCCCACTATGTACTGCACCACCCTTATTACATCACTGCATTGTCCACTCGTAAACTACAGGGTCATTCTCAGGGGTAGGGACTACCTTTGATTCTTTATCCCCATTGCCTGGCACGGAGTCCGGCACCCAGTGTGGATTCAGTAGATGTTGAATGAATGGTAGCGTGAATAAGTGAATGAGATGAAGGAAGCAGGAAGAAGATTGAAGAAGGGGCCACTCTGGCCGGTCTCATCTCCTTGGTGTAAGTCCCTCCTGAGTGGGATTATAAGATGAGAGAAAAGGCCCTTGAGAGGCATCTGGGGATCGGTCTTTGCTGCTGGTGGGACAATTGACTTCTTTCCCAGGACTCATAAAGCTTCTTTTCTGGCAGAAATAGATTTTTTTTAAAAAGAGCTCTTATCTTGGTTTCCCCCACCTTTAGAACTGACATGCTTCTATCCTCCGGGGATAGAAGATGCTAGCAAAACAATGTCACATTTTTTCTTAAAGTAGAAAAAAAGTTTTATGTCTTTAATTTTCCTGAAAGCATTTCAGTTTCTATTTTTTTTTTTTTTTTTTTGAAGAAAACTGGTTTTTCACTGGGATTATCCCAGGGGCCACATCCAGGTATATAGAGAAGAGAACAGTGTGTGTTTGCATACAGTTTGGATATATCTATGTAGACTGGGTCATCTGTTCTCAGGATACTTTCTTTTTTTTTTTTTCCTTCTTTATTTTTCAAAGAAATTGAATATTTTATCATCTTTGCAATGGAAACAACCAACAGCAATGAAAGGGCAATGGAAACCACAGTCAAAGTACTCCTTCATAGAGAAGATCACCTCTTTACAAGACTCCCCATCTTCTTCCAGTCTTTTATGAGATTTTGGTTGGCTATGGTCACCACGATAAAAATAGCAGCTGTCATCTGCACGCCAGGCTAGCTGTCATATACACTTTCATATCTCTCTTATTCCACTCACCAGCCCTGAGAGGTAGATGTCCTCCAGGCCGCACACAGGAAAACCAGCTCAGAGGGGCAGCAGAATTTGCCCAGGGATCACTCCTGTTGTTACTGCCAGAGCCAGGATTCAAACCCATGGCTGTCTGACCCCAAGGACTTTGTTTTTAAGCTACAAAGCTGGATTTTCTATCATCTGTGTGCTGTTTGGTGTCCTGTCTTTTGCACTTGCCATTACTAGCCATGGACTTTTCACACAGGTGCACAATATTGAGGTACCATAGTTTACTTATCTGTCCTTTTAGTTTGTTTCCAGTTTCTCAATATTATAAACAGCACAGCTATAAATATCTTTTTGCAAATAAGGGTGGTTTGTTGGGGTTTTTAGGTATTTGATGGTGGTCTTCAAAGTAGTATTGAGCCAAAGGGTTATACTGTTATGATTGTCCAGAAAGTCTGCACCATTCATTTGCCTGTGCAGTGATTATTTTTTGAGTGCCTCCTGTGGACCAGGTGCTGGAAGTGAAGAGGTGATTCAGAAACAACCCCCTCCCTCAGAGAACTAACAGTCTGGTCTGGACAGATGAGGCAACACAGAATGAACGGTACTAAAGTGGGGGGTTGAGCAAGGGGCAGTGAGAGTACTGGGAAATGTGTTCCCACCACCATAGTATCTGAGTGTTCCTTTTCCCCCATAGCATAGGGCAGGAGGGGGTCAGGGGAGGGCCCTGATACAGGGAGCGCTGCCCAGCAGTGGAACGTCCCAGCTTCCCCCAGGACTGGCTGCTAAGCTGCCTCCTGGCTGAGGACTCTTTCTTCCCTCCCCACATGTACACTCAGTTCCTTTCCTGCAGCCACCACCCTGCACCCAGGGCCTGTCTCCGCTGCCCAGCTGCCACTAGGGGGAGCCGGGCAGAGGCAGGGGGTGGGGGGACACCTGGGAACGTGGCTGTGGGCTCAGTGGCAGAATGAGTGGCAGCTAAGCACCTGTCAGTTCTCCAGGTCCCCTCGTGCCCTATAGGCCCCCAGCAGCCAGGGTGACAAAAGTTCACTCTTGTCCCACAGACAGGAAAGTGCATATGCCCTGATTGTATCGTTCAGTGCATTCCCCAAACCAAGCACTGTGTGGGATGAGTGTGAACTGGGTGCCATGTTGTCAGTCTGGCTTCTGGGGGCCTAGAGGGGAGGGAGGAGACCTGGAAAACCAGCAGGTGCTTAGCTGCTGCTCTAAGGCCGGAGGCAGACCGCCTCTCTCAGTCTCCGTGCTCCCATGACTTCAGTCACTACCATGTGCTGGTGATGCCGATGTCTGTATCCTTGGCCCCATCCTCTTCACTGACTTTGTGACTCAGATAAGAATAAAAATAATTTGCACTTGTGAAATCCCAGTACTAGAATTATGTATTAGAATCCCAGTACTAGAATTATGACATTATCTCATCTCATGTATCCAGCAACCTCAGGCAGTGCTGCGCCGTTTTATAGATGAGTAGAACTGAGTTCAGGATATACTGAGATTTGTCCAAGGCTCTGAAGTTGATAAGTGATGGAGGAGGCAGGATTTGAAAACCTCCACCAGCTGGGCTCCAGTACCTACACTCTTACCCTTTACTATGTGACCCTAAATGACATTTCCACTTGGATATGCCACAGACACCTCAATTCAACACGTCTGAAATTGGCCTCATTACGTCCCTACCCTCTGCCCCAGTCTGCCTTTTCCTCTCTTCTCCATTGCAATAAATGGCGCCATCCACCCAGTGATGCTCAGGTTAGAACCCTGGGTGTCTTCCAAGAACCTTCCTCTCCCTTACCCCTAACGTCCAGTCTTCTACCAGGTCCCGGTGACTTTATCCTCCACTTTTCTTGAACCCCACTGCTATTACCTTCCAAGGCCATCCTCCTCTCTCTTCGGGTTCCTGCAGCAGTCTCCCTGCCTCGACTCTCTGTTCCAGTCCATCCCCCGCATGCTGGCCGGGGGGTCTTCTGCACACGTGATCACACCACTTTCCTGCCTCAGGCCTTCCAGTGCGCTGGCCACCCAGGGGCTGAAATACATCCAGAAGACATGTTTTGTTTGGTCCATTGAGCATTCTTCAAACATTTTAAATTAGTTGCCAACATTTAAAAATCAGGAAATTCCACATAAAAATTCATATTTCTGGCTTCTCTTGCAATAGTGAGAGAACTGGCAACTCTGGGCCCACATCCCTGCAGTGTAGCAATTGGATGGAGCTGAGTGGTGGTTGCCCACTTTAGGAGGAGTGTGGGCTTTCCAGTTTGCCCAACATCGCCAAATGTCTTTTAGGCCCTGGTCATCTCCCTGAGACTTGAGGCATTTGTGCTCATGACCCTGCTGCACAGTATAAAGCCCAATACCTTCAGCATGGTTCCTAGGTGGCCCAGCCTGGAGCAGACCAGCCCTGCCAGCCTCTGAGTCTTACCCCTGTTCACTGCCCCATCACATTCTCCCCTGTGGCCCCACTGAAGTCTTCCCCATACTTCTCTGAATGGCCTGTCATGTGTGCCACTTTGCAGACTACTGCTTTGGAATGCCCGGCCCCTCCTTAAGTCCTATTTGTCCTTCAGGACTCTGCTCCAATGCTCCCTCTACCAAGAAGCATACCTCGTACACCTCTCCCACGAGGCTGAGTTTTTGTCCTCCCGTAACAGGTGGCACAGACCTCAGACATCCCACCAACCACACTGTGTTGTAGTTACTGACTGTGAATCTGAGACTGTGGGGATCCTGTCTTCTTTATCTTCCTATCCCCAATGCTTTGCACAGGGCTTGGAATATACTAGGTGCCTAATAACTGTTGAATGAATGGATGAATCAGTGGAAGACTGACTTGGGAATATACTACTCCAGGATATGATGTCAACTCTACTTGCTTGGGGTGTGGGGTTCCAGGTCCCTTTCATTCTCAAGCACCCCCTTCTGAGTCACCATTCAGGTGACACTCGCAACATGCTGTAAACCATGCCCCTGCTCTGCAAATTCTGGAACACATTCGAGCCTGAGGGGATGGTAGTTCCTAGCAATGACGGAGGGAACATGTACCATTTTTGGTGTTCTTGGGGGAGGGAGTTGTCCAGTAGTTGGGAAATGGCACAACTATCAGTTAATGGCACATTCTCTTCAATTATTTGAATAATGACAGCATCTAACACTCGTTGAACACTTACATTGTACCAGACCGAGCTAAGAGCTTTCAGTATGTCATTTCATTTACTCCTCACAGCAATTGCATTATCGCCATTTTACAGGCACGTCAGCTGAGATTCAGGCAGTTGAAACAATTTCTCCAGGGTTGCACAGCCAGCAGGGGGTAGATTCAAGATTTGAACTCATATCCACCTGACTTCAAAGTTAGCATTCTCAACCACCACACCATACTTCCCAATGACATTTCTTTTTAGAAACATGAGAAAATAAATGTCGAAACGAAGGCTATATACAGTTATATATACAGTAAGATTCCAATTGCTAACGAAGCAAAGAAAGTCCTGAGACATAGAGAAAGTGACCAAGGAGGCACCCCCATATGGTAGCAGTGCTGTTTTCCTTCTTTGTCTCCATCTTGTTTCTACTTTTTAACATTTTCTAAATTTCCTTTCATGAGCATGTACTGCTTTCATAATAAGCAAAAAGTCCTCTCTCTGTAATGGCCTCAGCATTAAGTGGCAGAACAGAGATCAGGAAGGGTCTGATTTGAGTACCCAGCTAATCAAGCGGGGCCGTGTCTTGAGTAGCTGTCACTGATCAGCAGGCAGCAACTGTGACCTCAGTACCTGCACCCTCATGGGGAAAAGGCGGAGAGCTGGTCACCGTTCCTGCCATCTCACCATCTCCCCTCTTCCTCCAGGTGCTTACACCCCAGAGCCCCTCAGCAGTTTCCGGTGGGCTCTTCTCTCAACTGGCCTCATGTTCTTTTATCACTTCAGCGTCTTGCAGATCCTCGGCCTGGTAAGTGTGGTTATATCCCCATCTATCCCCTCTGTTTGGAGTTCTCCATAAATCTTGATAATCTGGGTTGGCGCTGGTGTATTGTTTTGTCTTGAAAATACAAGATGCTAAAGGCCAGGATGTCAGATTGTTGTGTCTGGGTTGCTGATTTATGATCCACAGCCTTGGCCTCTCCAAAGAGTTTTCTGAATCCTTCATTAATGACTGTTTCTTTCAACCTTGGGGAGGCAAGGATGCCCTTCACTCATGGCCATGTGGGTCGCAAACAGTGAGCTGCAACTGGAAAGTGGTTCGCTCTGGACTACATGGGGAGGCAGGACCGTAACCCTGGCCCTGGGCCTCGGGGAGGCTTCTGACCTAGGGTCCAATCTGGGCCTGCTCTCAGGCCCTTTAGCAGGCTCTGCCATGAGCTATGTGGCCAGGGGAAGTACTGTGTTGGGAGCCCCCATGGCATTCTGGAGTGTTCAGAACTGCCTGGAGTTGGAAAATGGTTGGACTTAGTTGAGTTATCCAGAGCCCAAGATTGCTGAGCGCAGGGTGTGTATTGGTGGCAGGGTGAGTAGGAAGAGCTTGAGGCTGGGGATGGGGGTCAGGAGACTCAAGTTCAAGCCCTGGCGCTGCCACTGATCTGAGTGAGTCACCTCATGCTTGAGGGCAGAGAGTTCTCCACCTCTCTGTGATGTGGCATAAGAGCCCCACCCACCCTGAGAGGTGGTGAGGACTTGTCTTTAATGTGAACGGGCTTGGAGGGCTTTGGAAGGCAGGTGCCGTGCTGTCCTTGGGGCAGGAGTGGCATGTCTGGGTTTGTGTGCGAGCGGCATTACTGTAGCATTAGCCATGTGGAGCCTCAAGCGATGTAGCCTGACTAGGGCGTGTAATCGATGTCCCCAGTGCCTTTGTAGAAGTAGTCACTTTCTCGGCACCACCCTGGTGTATGGCTCTGTTCTGGTTTGCCGGGGGAGGGGGGCAGGGGGAGGCGGTCAGCCAACAGTGTGAATGCTTCCCATGCTCGCCGGACGAAGCACTATGACCTTCACGCCCTTGCCTGTTGCTGTTCTGCACTGGGATCCTTGATTCCAGAGCCATCAGCGTGCTCATGTCACCATACATCCCATGCTCAGGCCACGCCTCCTACAAGGAAGGCTCTGCTCACCCCATCCCTCTCCATAACCCCCATCCATCTTCCACAAGTCCATCCAAGTGCCACACCCTCGTGAATCTTCTCTGAGGATTCAGTCCCCATTCTGTATGCTCCTCAGACCTCCTCATGGTGTGTAAAACTCAGTGAGCACCATCTGGTTTGAGGTTAGATATAGTAAACCGATCACCCCCACTTGATTGGTTCCCAGTTACGTGGAGGCAGGACCATACTGTTGACTGCTCTTTTATCCCGTACCACGTCTCCAGGGACTATTCACATAGTAGATGCTTAGGAATGGCACTGGGCTCTGGGCCCAACTGCGAGGTGAGCCTCTGAGCAAAACTGAACAGCTTTTCCATGGATAGCCTTTCCTCATCACCTCGAGGGCTCTAATCTTGACCCACTCAGAAAACCCAGGGGAGAGAAGATCCTTTATGAACAGGTGGGGATTGGTCAATCCCTGCTTGTCTAGTCCCCCAATAAGTAGAGATGGCTGAACTGGCAGAAGCCAGAGAAAGCCTAAGGATGGTGAACGCTCACTCTACCTCCCTTGTCCCTGCAGGTCACCGAAGTGAATTTGAACAACATGCTGTGTCCGGCCATCTCAGACCCATTCTACGGCCCCTGGTATCGCATCTGGGCCTCGGGACACCAGACTATCATGACCATGACCCACGGGAAGCTGGTCATCCTGTTCTCATACGTGGCTGGGCCCTTGTGTAAATATCTGCTGGATTGGCTCCGGCTTCCAGCCAAGAAAATAGACTGAAGGTGCTTGTTTTTTTTTTTCCCCCCCTGAGGAAGCAAGTCCTGACTTGACTTGGAGAACATGTAGTTCTTGATGGAATCATGGGAGAGGGCAGTAGGCTGTTTGGTGTATTTCGTTTATCCTCCTCTCTGTCCCTTTCTTCCACCCCTCTTCCTTCCCCAGCTCTTCTCCCCAGGGTGTGTCCTCGAGCTTGGGGTGTAGTGCTGGGGGCTGCATTTTTCCTCCTTCCCTTTTGCTCTTTCTTCGTGCTCCTAGTGGCCTTATATGGGGAGATGGTAGTCGATGGCTCTTTTACTCTGCTTGTTGGTGCTTTAACAACAGCTGGTTGAGGAGAAAGAGAATGGCAAGCAGTAGTTCTTTCGGCATTGAAGCAGTGAGCTTGGGATGTGTTTCATTTCTCTACTGCCAGGGACCTCCAGGCTTAGGCTGGGATCCCCTGTCATCTCCAGCACACCCCCCACCTAAGGGGACTGAGGCCTTGTTTCTATACCAGCAGCAAGCCCAAAGCTGAGGGATTTCCAAGCTCATGGCCCAAATAGAACTGACCAGATTCTTCCCACTGGTGTCCCATGACTCAGAGCAAGCGGCCAACTAGCCACTCCCTCTAGGATGCTGCCCAAGGGGGAGGTGGGAGTGCTAGCCAGTCTGGGGGCTAGATTCCATTGAAGGGGTCGGAGAGCTAGTGTGATGGCAAATGCAGAGCCAAGAGGGTTAGGAGGCACACAGTGCTAGGCAGGACCCTCTGTGCTTTCTGCCCATGAGAGCTGAGAACTGACGGATCCATCAGTCAGAAGTAAGCCTAGAAATTAACCAACAGAAGTGGTAACTTGAGCAAACTGTGATTCGAATCGTATACTCCGTTTTAGTTTAATGTTGATAATAGATCCATTTTAATCTTGAGTACCCCTTGAACGGGTTCTCATTCTCTCTCTCTCACCCCCCTCCTCAAAGGCACCTTCAGGAAAGAATGAGCTGGAGTTGGATTGTTTGTTTTGGGATGTTTGACTTTGGAGAATCTTTGCATCAAGGCTCATTTCTGGAAAGGCTCCTGTAGATCCATTTCTTGGTTTTACAGTATACAGAAGCATCCTGGGTTTGGGAGGATACAGCTCCTGCCAGCTTTGGTTTCCCTAGGGCTAGATTACTTCAATGCAGCCAGACTCAGTGCTAAATTTTTTAATGTGGTGGGGGCGGGGGGGCGGAAATCACACACTCCTCACCCTGCCCACCCCCAAAGCCCATGTCTAGGTTGAAAGGGAGCTGCCAAGGAATCAGGTCCCCATGGGTGGAAGTCCAAGGCCCCAAAAGGACAAGCTCTGTTTGAAAGACTTGAGCTCAGTCACACATGGACCTCAAGAAGGGAAGCCATGGCTGGGCATTTGCTGACTCCTTGTGGACTCCTACTAGGGACAGATTTGCTTAAGAACAGAAAAGATCATTCAGTGACTTCTCTGATGAGCTTCCCCTCCCTTCTCCCACTCGAGGCAACCCAGTTGCCCTGAGCCAGTTCCAGTATTTCAGGTTTGACCGTATTGGACCTAGATGGAGCTTCAGGTGACTCGGTGGTCATGATGTTAGTGAATGCACTTACAAGAGGCAGCAGAATGCAGGAGAGTCTCTTTGAGTTAGTTAGCTGAGACCCAGGGGAACAATCCTGGGAGTGCCTGCCCTTCCACAGAGGCCTGCTGGCATTGAGGCGACCAGTGTCCAGGGCATGGGGAGTAGGAGGGGAGATCAGCGAGTGCTCTTCCTTCCCCTGAGCTCCTTGTGATGTGTCACCTTTGTTTTCTGTCATCTTTGAGGGCTGGGCCAGTCTTTTCTTAGTGCCTCTCCCTCCAGGGTTGCCTTGCAGAAGAGGCACCTCCTGAGTGACTGGATTTGCCCTGGCTGCCATCAACCTGCTGCATGTCAGAATGGCTGGTGAGGAAATGGGCAAGGCCTCAGTGCCCCTTGGCTTCTTTATAAGAGGAGAGGTTGAGAGGAGCCCCTGGGGGCCTGCCTGGCCTATTCCCTACCGGAATGTGGAGTTGCTGCAGGCAGAGGATCTATGCCTCAGTGGGGGACCAGCTCTGGAATGCCACAGTAGTGTGACTGCATAGGCCCTCCCTTCCTCCCTGTCTCTGTGGCATGGCACAGGCTGCCAGTCGGCTCAAGCTTTCTTTACATTGGCACACCTCCAAAAGCTTGCCTTTGCCCTGGCTAAGCTCAGCACCTCATTCTGGCGGGTACTTTGTGGTGCTCAGCAGAAGAAAAGAAGGTGAAAGCCATGTGCGTGGCCTGGCCAGAGACAGATACACCTGTTAGGGGAAGAGTGACGTGAAGGAGAGATGCAAGGCTTCTGGGGGCCAGATTGGCTCCAAAACATGTACAGATAGTAGACCCAGTGCACAGGCTCCACGGGGAGTCATGGTCCATATTTGGGGTGTTAGGGTGCAGTAGGCGTCTGAACTGGTCTATATCTCACTCTTCCCTTGGGCTGGGCCCAGACGGAGAGAGGTAACCTGGCCACAGCCACGGCAGCCCACCTCGGGGTGGCCTCCATGCCTGCCCAGCAGCCAGCCTGCTTCTGCCCCAGCTTTGGCGCTGGCATGAGGGAAGTTGCAGTTTGTACACCCAGTGACCATTGGGCCTGGCTTCCCAGCTCCTCCTCAGGGCTTTCCTGTCGGTGCCAAGGCAGTTCCCCAGTCACGCCAGCCAAGTTTCCATATGCTGTCTGCCAGCTTGTGGGAGCTCCGTGCGTGTGGGAGAGACTTGTTTGTAGAAGTGGACGCTTTCCTTTAAAACAGCCCCAGGAGGGGAAAAGAGTGCTCCCTCAACTTCCCAGGTTGCCTTGGCCAAGGATCTGGGCCAATGAGAGCAGCCTGTTGAGCTGGCCAACTTGCGGCATCCGCTCTGAAGAGCAGAGACAGTCATACCTGCTTATGGTCCTCCCTGCCCCCAGCATTTGGCTTTGTATACCAAAGATGATCTGGCCCATCTTCCTCCCGGAGGCACAGAGACCGGTTTCTCTATCTGCTGGTGAGGGCATTGCAGGGTTCGGAAGCTACAGACTCAGTGTCCCTGAGTCAGCATTGTCTCTTTCTTCCCAGACTTCATAGCATTCACAGAAGCTGCTTGCAAGGTCGTCAGGCTCACTGGGGCGACTGGCACACTTTACCGTACAGTATGTCATCCAGCTGTCAGATCATCCTTTTGCCGTAGCCTTCGTTAGGGTTTGGATACTCCTGATCATTGATGACTCAGTGTCTTGTGAAGTGGGCGCAGCTCCGCACTGACAGCAAGTTGTCAGCAGGTCTCCGTGCAGTGGTGTCGGGGCCAGGTGGTGCCCTGGGGGCAGCAGAAGGGCCCTTTCTCCCCCTCCCTCTGCCAGAAAGACTTCCCTGGATTTGTAGGCGTTGACCCACAGTCATCTGTCCTCTTCAGAAGAGGATTTTCTTCATGGTTTCTACTGAAGGGGAGCTAGGGGAGAAGAATACAGGGTCACGTTTGACACTGTAGGACAAGACACTGGTGCTGGTTCTGGTCAATGAGGAGCAGGCGTCCAGGAGGGCTCCCCACAGGCCCTAGCAGGCTCCTTGGCAAGGCCCTGGACCGGGAAGGGGCCTCCCCCGCTGGCCGCTCTGCCCTCTCAGAGGTGGGCAGAGTCTGTGAGAGGGGGTGAGCCTTCCCCTTGTGTATATAGAGTGAGCCCATTTGTGCTCAGGAAAACCTGGTCGCTTGTTGTTGCTCTTGTCTGTGACATTCTTGTACACTGGTTTGCTACTCATGGCACGAAACAGACAAAACCCCATGAAAAACAAAAAACAAGTCATTTTAAACAAAGCTGTTCTTTGGACAATTCTTGCTTTCTTTGGGTGTCGATTTTGTGTTTCTATTTTAAGAATTCTTCATTTATATCGGTGTTAGGGTAGAGAAGAGAAAACGATAGGCTGATCTCTAATCACTTCTGCCAGGAAATCGGCAATGCCTCTGCCCCTCTTACCTCACCCCTGTCCTTCCTGGTTCCCAAGCTGGACAGACCTCCCCCCCCCCCCCCCCC